TTCGTTATTGTACCTAAATTAAATTATAAAAAAAATTAAATTAAAAAATTACACAAAAAATGAGTAATTTTAAATAGTTAATTTGATACGGATATCGATATAGTTTTGTCAGATTTTTATGTTATCTTCAAACTTATATTTTATTCAATAATAATAAAAATCACCGCTTTCTCAAAATCACATAAGACCATATTATAACATCGACTAAGATAAAGAATAAAATGAAATATTAAAATCAAGTTGCATTGCGCGAATACCATTATACTATGTTAAAATACATAATAAATGTTGAATTTTACTAATATCTATACTATCTTATAATGCATTTGGCTAAAACTCTTAATCTCTTAAACTCTTAAACTCTTAAAAACAACTTCTATTGCTTTAGGTACAACCTACTAAAACATATCTATCCTAAACCCCCCTTTCTAAACCCAATCCCATGTTTATCGCCCCTAACCCGATCCCATTTTATCGCCCCTAACCCGATCCCATTTTATCGCCCCTAATTCCCAATCCCATTTCTATCTATCGCAACCCTAATCCCAATCCCATTTTATCTCCCCTAACCCAATCGATGAAATCATTTAATTCTCAATCCCATTTCAAGCACGTTCATCGCTTCCTTCCCAAAGCGACGATTTCCAAATTGATTTTCTCAAAGATGTCGATTGAATTCAAGACCATATATCAATGCGGTTAGGGTTCTTTTCGCTTCTTAATGCGATCCATCATTCCCGATTCCATGTTGTTAGGTTTTTTCCATTCAATCCATCGCTCTTAATTTCATACGGTTTGTTCGAGTTCTATTTTTATTTCTTGTTCTTATATTTATTTATGTTTGAGGTTCTCAATGTTGACATATATTTGCAATGATTTAGGGTTTTACCTGTTCGGATATACGTTTATGATATGAGTTTGTTTATTTTCTACCGTATGATTTGATTTTGCTCTTTTTGCAGTTTTCTGACCTGGTTAGGTTCCTTTTTCTTCTATATGTGTCATGATGCAGGTGATTCAA